CATTGATATTGTCTAAACAATAGAAAAAGGACTTTCGAGAAAAGTTAAGGAAAATTCAATATAAACAACTATTTTCGATTCTTTGATTATATAACTTGGTATGTTTCTATCCCGGAGATTGAATTCGAACGTCTGAAATGCCATCTTAAACTGTCTCAAACGGTGAAAAAACGGCGTAATTCGTGCCCGAAGTGACATAAAAATGACGCCGTTTTTCACCTTTTTTTTGCCGTTCTCCGTCAGCTCGGATTGAGGGCCGTTTTGTACCGGAACACAAACGGCGTTCTTTCAGGCCGTATCGGACGTACAGTGATGTGCAGTTTTGGGAACGGAATATGATCGTATTGTTCATGCTCACATCCTATTTTATACCCTTCTCACGCTTCCTGAGCACATTTTTTTTAAGTTAATAAAAATAGTTACGATTAGAATACGATCCAATTGTATCTAAAACCAAAATAAAAAATAATTTAATTAAAAAATGCTTACTGTGAAATTCCATCAAATTAAGTCTAAAATTAAAATTAAAAATAAATTTTATTAAAATAGAAAAATATTTACGTATAAAATTCCACGATATGAAATCTAAAATAAAACATAAAAAGTAATTTTATTAATATACAAACATTTACTTTGAAAATTTGATGAAAGGAAATTTAGAATAAAACATAAAAATCAGTTTCGTTAAAATAAAAATAGTTATGTTGAAAATTCGAAGCAAATAAATAAAAAATAAAAAATGAGAATAAACTTAATTAGAACAAATATTTACGTTCAGAATTTCACGCGATGAAATCTAAAATAGAAAATAAAAATTAATCTTATTATCGCTAAAATGCTTACTTTGAAAATGTGATGAAAATAAATCTAAAACAAAAACTAAAAGTGAATTTTATTAAACTAAAAATCCTTATGGCTAAAATTTTGTCCAATTGAATCTAAACTGAAAAATAAAAGCTAATTTTATTAAAACAGAAATATTTATATGTAAAATTTCACAGAATTAAATATAAAAATTAAAACTAAAAATAATTTTTATATGAAAAAAATAGTTACTTTGACAGCGTCTAATTATATCTTGTAAACACGTTTCTAGTATTCGGAATAAAAGTGCCTTAAAACGGCAAGAAAACGATGGACGTAACGATAGCCGTTTCCGGGAATTAGACAACGGTGATCTGAAGCGACATCGTCTTTCGCCTTATCTCGCCGTTTTATGGTGCTCCGGAAACGACTATCGCTACGGTGATCGTTTTTCGCAGTTTTTAAACCGTTTAGGCCCGTTTATGAGCCATTTTCTACCACCTGGGTATTGTCTGTTTTTCGTTTAGATAAAATCAGGCAAAAATCACTAGTAGAACAGGAGTAACATGAGTTTCAATTTTTTCAAAATATTTTGTCGAACATTTGTTTAGTGTTATTTTAATGAGTATTCTTTGAGATCTATAGTTTTGGTATTTCAAGGTCTCAAATGATTATCAAATGAATGTTTAATAACATGAATGACGATTACGGACGAGTAGAAAAGAATTGAGTATAATAAAGTTATGCCATTTGACGATAGTTTTCTTTCTAATCTTTCTTTCAATCTATACGCAAAGATTTTAAGATGATTGATATTCTTTATTTTATTAAATCTCAATGGTTGTTATGAACATCATGTACATTGAATAGCGATGAATAAAACGTTTTGACAGTTATTTTTAAATCAGTTTCAATCAAGTTGTAATCTTATAGCCTACTCATTATATAATTGTAAAGCATTGAGTGTCTTTACCTTTATAGATGCAATTATGCAAAATATTCGTGAATTGGTTAATTAATCCATTTTCATCTGATGTCTACTACACATGTGATGTCACAAATATTGACCAACATAAAGAAAACATTAATTACGACAGCTTCTATTATGAAAAAAAAAACATGAACGTGATCTTTTTCTTAGTCTTCAATCTGATGATATTGTTCATACTGCTGCCACTTTGGTCAATAAGAACGAAAAAAAAATTTGGTGATATTTTGATGCATAATGAGTACACATATTGGTCAATTAATGGCTCAGTGTACATCCGATGATTGTGACAATTTGAAAGTGTTCTTTGTCTACCTTTGTTTATGATCACTTTCTCGATGTATACATACTATCATTCTTAATATGATAATGAAATATACAAATAATAGTTATCAGTATGCATAGATCTTCTACATAGATTTCAACTGCGTCTTTTTCTTTCAATAAATACTTTAAATATAAAAATGGCAAAGAGTTGCATATGGAACATTATTTTGCTCAGTTGATTTTGACTTATAAAATTTGTCTTAATTGTTTCTAAGAAAAGTATCTACTAAAAATCATTAAAAATTGTATTTTTTCTATTACTAGTTCGTAAAGAAAAAATTTCTGTTTTCGATTACATTAACAAAAACACAAATTAAATTGCAGAAGTATGTGTTATAATTAATCATTGATTATCGTGCTATATATGTTAGACTCTCAAAGGTTAAATTTAATTCAAGTTTCCAATTTTAAACATAAGCATAGAACACTCTCAGCATGGATGCTACAGAAATATAGACGACTGAAAGTTGAATGTTGAAGCTTGAATGGAATTCAACTTTTGAAGTTTCATACTACTGAGAATTGTCAACGCTTACTTTCATTTTGATTCTTCATAAGTAGTAGCAATGAAAACGCATAAAAATTAGAAAACCAAACATTGAAAAGTATATCATTATGCGATGCTGAACGAAGCTGGAGTCGACCTATGAGTGGATTTATCTATCTCTGGTAGTGAAGACATTCTCATAGTGAATTTTGATGTGATGAGCATTTTGCAACGATCTCTGCTTTCGTATTTCATTGAAAAGCATTTGTTAGCAACTATTCGTTTCATACTGGTAATTATTAGTCTGCTTCTTTTCACAGGTGTTTGTTTCTTCCAATTAATCAACATATTAAGAATTACTCCTTATATAGAGTTATAACCAATATGCTTTCTCGCTTGAAAAGAACACATTAATGAAAAATATGCTGACGTGTCCTTCATAAAACGCGTTTGATAGCGTTGACGTATTGCGTCAGCAAAAGATAGATGACATTTATATCACTATCGATCATTCAAAATAATTTCAGCACATACGAATTATTGAAAATCTATGGACGACTGACGCACGAGCTCAAACACTTGTTTATGAATAAGAATATCAGGAAGTCAGGACATATCTTGAGGCATGTATGTGTGCAAAAAACATGACAAAAATGTTTGTCTATGGAATAGCTTCGCATGCTTTCTTACTTAAATATCGCACATTCAAAGGAATGAGGGTCATTTGTAGAAAAAGCAGATGCAGGGAAATACGCTTGAGAATCAGTCGCAACCGTCGACTCTTCCGACAAACAACAACAAGAGGTTCGTATCAATAAATAGCTCATTATATACATGCTTGAATCATTTCATGTTTAGACGTTTTGTCTTAATCATCCTTACAATTATTATTGGGGTATGCATTGTGACAACAGCAATTGTCGTACCTATCGTTTTGACTAGAAGAACCACTACAACTGGTATGTTGTTTTTGAAAAAACAAAAATACATGATAATGTACTCATTGAACGAAAGAATCACGACAACTCAGCATTTTTTTAACATAAAAAAATGTTGGGATGTTGAAAGATATTGAAGGAATTAAGTTAAGAACTAATCATAAAATCTTATAAATGGAAATCCTGTAGTAGCTGCCTTTGCTACTTTTATTGTTTATTTATTTCTGAAAGATCATTCTAACGGTGAGAAGTTATTGTTGTTATGAGAGACTCCATGAGAAAAGCGAGCAATTCGACTAGAGAACCATAATATGATCAATTTGAAAATTTTAATCTCAATATATTCGTTCGATAATTAGTGTTGAGAAACTTTAGTGACCGAAGTTTTAGATGAAAAAGATGTGTTTTGATAAAAATATGACCTTTCACTAACAACTGAAATTTTACTGATTTCTTAAAAGCAAACCGTGTTTTCTTCTTTTTCGTTTTTCATCATTTATTGAGCCATTCTTTTGAATAACTCCTCATTCGACAGAAGGAAAACACTGAAGGACAATGCAGCATTTTCCATTTATCAGCCATGATATTCAAGTTTTCAACAAACACTCGAAGCCATATCTAATCCAGGAAATGAAGACTTAAATTTTGTTAAACACAACCGTAAAATAGAGTGTTAAAGTATTTAGTGAGAAAACTGAACAATGTTCGTCAGACATATATTCTAGAGTCAGAGATTGTGATAGACATTTCATGATATGCAGTACTTGATAAAGAAAGCTCTTTTTAATTTTAAATGATGAAGATCTTTGCTTAATATCGTGACATCTTGATAAAGTTTAACACCACGATATCGCTTCGTAATCGCCTGAAACGACAAAATGCTCATTGGGTTCTAGAACGATTGGCGTTTCAGTATCAGATATTATGCATTAGCTGCATACACATCATAAACAAAGTCCTAATTATTTAAAAAGTCATTGAAAAGATTTCAGAAGAAACACATTTTAAGAAATATACAACGAGATGTATTCGAGCTGAGATGGCTTGAACACAACAGTTGCATCAGATGTTTGTAAACGTTAAGGAAAGTTGAAGTTCTTGAACATGAAAAAAGTCTAGCGACCTAGTATAAATAGCATCAATAGTGTGGCAACTGCTTGAGGTTCAGGCGCTTTCCAAAATGATGATTATCGTGTTTATATTTCGTTTTCAACTTCGGCGTACTTCAGTAAAATGAGCTGAGAATCATAAGATGGCAGCACTAAGAATATGGCAGTACACAATGAACATTTCTTCAAGCAGTCTAATTATTGTATTAAGCTACTTGCATTTCTTTCATACATGAGAGAATTCGTAAATTTCTTGAAAAAAATTCATCCCTTTGAATTTTATCTCTGATAAATATAGTGAAGTGACATTTTCTTCGCAAAGGATATTAGAGTTTTTTATCTACGTGATGAGTGTTCGACAGCGGTCAAAAGATGTATTTTCAAGAATTACCATGAGCTACACTGGAAATAAATTGCATCGATCATATTTCATTCCAATTTTTCTACAATATAGTAAGATAGTCTACGCGATCAGAATTCAACGAGATACAGAAACAGCGAAGAAATAAGGGAGATCGATCCAGGTTGCGTGCGCTAAATTCTCTCTTAAACTCATTTTCTCTTTAGTTGTCTAGAAACAAATTCACATGAATCAGACAATAACATAATTTTCAAATATCGACGATAATTAGTTTGAAAAGTAACAGTCTAGTCCCATAGTAGGGGTGAATATATCATTAAATTGGATTAGCCCACACCACAAAATGTCGACTCCTTCGTTGCTATGCAAAATCGAAAGCATATCACACGTAATGTCTCGATTTTTTCACGAAACATTTATGAGTGGTATCAATCCCTCACACTAAATCTGTCCTCCTTAGGTCATGTTGGAACTGGCAATTTTGACTACTTATCATACGTCAAAGCTGACTGCATTCTGATAATACCTAACACTCAAAAGTGAATGTAATGAAAGAGTCGACACGAAGAGTTCGCATAAGTTTTTGAGAGCCCAAGAATCTATCAAAAAGTCCAACTGATGTCTTGTATATTATTTTTCAATTGATGAGAAAATTGTAAAAGATCTTGATGATTTTGATTTTTCTTAGTATGGCAAATATAATTATGAATCAAATATTAAAGCTTCAAATGCACTAAAGCTTTCTCGCAACTATTATGTTGCTAATTAATATACTTATTTAAGTGTTGTTTTTCTTCTTTATGTCATAGTATCAATTGTAACAACAACAACAACGACAACATTGGGCACAACCACGTCAACAACAACGTTGACCACAACCATGATTACATCAGCAACAACAACAACGTTGACCACAACCATGATTATATCAGCAACAACATCAACTCTTTCATGTAAGCTTTGTCTAATTTGATACCATATCCTGACAAAAATTAGAGAATCGTCTCCTTCTGTCGAGTTGCTTAGTGGCTCCAGACAAATTTACAATCTAGAGTAGACAAAAGCTTTCAATCATATGCACTCAAGCATTTTGTATACTAGTCATGGAACCAAGAGTTTGGGCGCTTGGTGGGGTGAGGAGGGAGCTAGCAAGCTTCAGCATTTTTTAATCTGCGTAGGTGGCACTCTTTCTTGTATTTACGAACATTTTGCAAGGCAAAACAATTGATGATGCTCAAAAGTGTAGAATCCAAAGGAGAAAATGCGAAAATTTGGTACTTCATTGTACTTGAGAGTACTCCATGGGTATGTCGATATTATTATCTAGAACTGTTCAGATATTTCAAAGTCTGTTATCAACATATGTTACGTGTATATTAGTATGAGTTCGTTTCATATAAGTTTGTCTGGCAATACAATCCAACTACGTCATCATACTTCAGAATTTGAGTATCAATGAAATACAATGGAGTATTTGGACTTTATTGCCAGATAAACTTATATAATATGAACTGACACAAGTAAATATGCTCATGGCACACATTGGTAGTATACTTGAAATACCTAAACAGTCGTAGAGAATACTTTGGGCACAAACCTGGAGTAGAGCGAAGCACGGATAAAGGACGGAATTTTTACTTTTTCCCTTGAATTAATAGTATGAAAGTTAATAGATTAGATGTGAATACTCTCCATCTGGTATTCAAATTTTTCGATAGGAACTAATATTGACACCTTTTACTCCGATGATCCGATCCATCCTCGAGAACTTTTGTTTTCAAATATTTTCATTGGGATGCCTCGTTCTCCCGAAAGTTGTCTAAGATAATATTTAAAGACTTCTTCGCTGTTCTCGAACTTCCGCGGAAAACTAGTTTTGTAAATTTTTTAACTCCCACATCTAATGATAAAAAATCTCCAAATTATCACATATAGGAATGAGAGAAGATATGAAGGATGATTAATCCCTTTCCTAAAATGAGTCCTCCACCCACGCACCCTCAGAATTGCTAGGATAAATACTATATTATTGGATTGGTGGTACCTTTTTATACAAGAATCTGCTTATTTTGTCAAACTTGATTTCTTTCTATAATCAACTTGTTTGTTTACAAAAAGTATCATCATATATGATATGAGTTGTTGTGTCCTGAACATATGTCATTAGCACTGCATTGAATTTTAAACCTATTGGAACAATGTATGTTTATAACAATTTTCTCTTCGAAATAAAATATTCCGAATGTTTTTCTTAAAAGATAGCAAAATTAAGCTTTCGAGAAAACAGGTGCGAGCATCGGTCTCATTGCTTTTGGTTTTTCTAGCATCTTTTCTCCAAAATGCGTGTTGTTCTATCAGAGATGGATCGAGTCTGAGAAGTTCCATCAGATTTTAATCAAAGTTATCTCATGTGATAGAGAAACAAAATACGAAGAGATTGTAGTACTACTTTAAAAGATTATTGCTTCTGAATTGAGATGCGAATGTTTTGCCGTATCTTAAATACAACAGATTCAAAATCGACCAACGTTTTACTTTTATGACAATCTATGCAACTATTTTGACTTGAAACTTCCTTTTTATGTTTCTTTACACACTGAACTAATTTTCATTTTAGCATTCTATCGAAAAATTGTCGATTATGGATAGTTTTCAGAGGACACTAAAAATACTTAATAAAATGACATACATGTATATTTTATTTTTATTTTCGATTGATTCTTGATTTTTCAGGTGTCATATTAAAGAGCGTGAAAATTAACGGTGTTTCATAAAGAATGGACATCTCATAATTTTGTCGATAACTTTGTAAGATTTCATTGCACTGACTCATAAATTATATCAAAATCTATCCCAATTAATTCTCTACAAATCTCTGTAAATGATTCAAAAACCAAACATTATCACAAAAGATTATACGTGAAAGTGTGACGCATGATAAATAAAAATATTGTGTAAAAATGTATTTTGTTAAAAATTGATCATTCATATTTTATGAATAGATCTCAGCCGTCACCAGCTGATGACCAGAAATATTTGTTGCTTCAATGTGAATAATCTAAGGCATATGCTAGCATCTAAGGTAATAGGAATCATTAGAATTATAAATAATTCATATCAAATTAAGACCATTCATTGAGAGGTTCCTTTCTGATCTTTCTTTAGTGATAGAGTGATCTGAAAAATTCATAATGAACACAATCTTTGTAGCCTTATTTTGGTATAATATGAACCTAAATTCGAAAAAAAAGCTCTGAAACTTGCATCTCAATTAATGGCATTAATTTGATATGAACAATGTATAATTCTGCGAATCCTGATTACCCTAGACGCTCGCATATGTCTCAAATTGTCTAAATTGAAACAAACAAATACTTCAGGTCATCAACTGATGATAGCTGAGAGTTATCTATAAAATATGAATGATCAATTTTTAACAAAGTACCTTTTTACACAATATTTTAATTTATTATGCGCCAAACTTTCACACATAATCTTTTGTGATAATGTGTTATTTTTAAATCATTTAAAGAGATTTGTAGAGAATTAATCGGCTTATATTTTAATGTAAATCATGAATCAGAGCAATTAAGTTTTACAGAGTTATCGACAAAATTATGAGAGGCCCATTCTTTGTGGAACACTTGTTAAATTGAAAATAGTATCTTCTTAAGCTATTTTATTGCTGGAAGTAAAATTACCAAGTTCATATTGACTTATTAACTTATGGTAATTTTCTACAAGAGGATGTAGGCGTATGTGATACTTTTCTGTATAAACTGGTTATGTTTTCAATCGAGATGATATCTATTTTCTTGGATATGACACCGTGATTCTATGAATGAGTCCGAAACGAAAGCTAAGTGATACCACGAAAAAAGTACTAGATTCATATTTTCAGAAATATGGATCCAATTTCTTCAAATGATATCTCTATTGAAACAGCAACAAATGTCACACAAAACTGCATATATTCTTTGATTGAAAGGCTACCTTTTTTAGAAGTGCACTTTACTCTCTTCATATTAGTATCATGTAATTTTCGTTTCTGACTCATTCATAAAATAATGATGTCATGTTCAGGAGAAAAGATATTATCATCTCAATTTGAAACATAGCCAGTTTATATAGAAAAGCATTCTCTATTCAGTCACAAGCTGACTTATGCAATAGAAAGAACACAATAAATCTTGTAGAAGATTACTACAAGTTAATATGTCTATAAGAATATGGTAGCTCTCCTTCCGATGATAAAATAATTAAAGAAAAAGAAACTGTTTTCGATATGGTTTTCACGCTCTTTCAAATAGCGTCTTGAAAATCAAGAATCAATCGAAACCTACAATAAAACATATGTATGTCGTTTTATTAACTACTTCTAGTATCTTCTGTTAATTATGCATGAGCGATAATTTTTCAAAAGTTGACTGAAATGAAAATTGGTTTAGTGTGCAGAGAAATATTTGATCTTATCAATGTTGTGCTATAAAGAGAATTCCAAGTTCAAATAGTTTTACAGACTGTCATAAACACACAATGTTGATCAATTTAGGAGCCATAGAAAAAGTCATCCTCTAATTGTTTGTTCAATAACCGTAGAGGAGAAGGATGGTTTGACTCCAATTGTTGTGTACATACATATGTTATATGCTAATGACTACAATATGGATGAAACCGAGCTATGATGATTGACGTTGCTGTCGAGATATGAGCTCACAACAAAAAAGTTCACTTTACTTATTAATCGATTGAGAAACACATTGCACTTGAGTACATTGAAAGATAATTCATATCTCGACTCTGGAGCAAAAGTAAAAAAGTGGTATTACAATCTCCTCATTTTTCATTTTCTTTATCGAGTCAGACTGCTACAAAAAAAAATCCGACAGAATTTGTCGGAATAGATGCATTTTTGGCGATACCTTCGCTTTTCCTACTACTTTATTACTGTGTTGTCGGGAAACTTTGATTTGACAAAAAATTTATTTTCTAAATTAGGCCGACTTTCTATTTCCAAAAACCGTATGGGCTCCATTGGTCTATAGAAAACTGATGATGGACATTCGAGACGGAGGTTGGGTCCTTAAATGACGCCAACATTTAATGTTGGAAACAGGAACTTGCTGAAGCGCTTGAACATACTGGGAAAACACGTTGAAATGATAGCAAGTTGTCGTGTTATTCGACTGCCACTGTTGTAACGGGTGTTTGTCCGTTCTACAACTGACTGCGGTATTTTGCAAGAGATAGATTTGTTTTTTTTACTGGATTTCTGATAAGATAATTTTCAAGTCGAAATTCAATGTCATAAGACCACTGTTAGCTTCAAAATCGAAATATTCTCTATATATGAGCAAAGATATTTGCATAAGTGCTTTGTTTTAGATATAGAAAAGTGCATCGATACTGCTAATTCCATATCTGTGCAAGATCTCTGTTGTAGTATTCCTGTTGTTAGCATC